TAGGCAAAGTCTCTTCAGATGCATAAACAGAGTAACCATATCAAGCATCTTATCAGATCATAGTGGCATAAAACTGGAAATTAACTACAATAAAAATAACCCTAAGAAATCAAACACATGGAAACTAAACAGCATGTTATTAAACAAGGACTGGGTTACCAGAGAAATCAAGGAAGAAATTAAAAACATCCTGGAAACAAAAGACGATGAAAACACAACAATCCAAAATCTATGGGACACAGCAAAAGCAGTTTTGAGAGGGAAGTTCATATCCTTACAAGCTTATTGCAAAAAAAAAAAAAAAAAAAAAAAAAAGGTAACAAATGATCTAACTCTACAACTCAAAGAGTTAGAAAAAGAGCAACAAGAAAAGCCCATTGTAAGCAGAAGGAAGGAAATGACAAAAATCAGAGAGGAGATAAATGACATAGTGACTAAAAAGAAACAATACATCAGATCAACAAAACCAAGAGCTGATTCTTTCAAAGGATAAACAAGACTGATGGCCCTCTAGCCAGGCTAACCAAGAAACAAAGAGAGAGTACTCAAATAAACAAAATAAGAAATGAAAGAGGTGAAATAACAACAGATCCACCCCCCCCCCAAAAAAAAAAATACAATATAAAGGTTTGCTACAAAATACTACAAACAACTCTATTCCAACGAACTGGACAACCTGGAGGAAATGGACATATTCCTAGAAAAATATAACCTAACAAAATTCAATTAGGAAGAATCTAACAATCTCAACTGACCAGTGATTTTGGAAGAAATTGAAACAGTCATCAAAAAGCTTCCAACAAACAAAAGCCCAGGGACAGATTACTTCATAGGAGAGTTTTACAAAACATTCAAGAAAAAACTAAAACCCATGCTCCTCAGACTATTCCAAAAACTTCAAGAGAAAAGAACACTTCCCAACTCCTTCTATGAAACCAGCATCACCCTAACACCAAAACGAGATAAACAACACAATGAAAGAGAATTACAGGCCAATATCCCTCATGAACATAGATGCCAAAATCCTCAACAAAGCTTTGGCAAATCGGCTCCAGCAGAACATCAGAAAGATCATACACCATGACCAAGTAGGATTTATTCCGGGAATGCAAGGATGGTACAATATCCGCAAATCAGTAAATGTGATACAAATCACATAAACAAATTGAGAGATAAAAATCATAAAGTCATATCAATCAATGCAGAAAAAGCATTTGATAAAATCCAACACCCGTTCCTGATATGAACTCTTAACAAGTTGGGAATAAGACGGATCATACCTCAACATAATAAAAGCTATATATGATAAACCCACAGCCAACATTATACTCAATAGGCAAAAACTAAAACCATTCCCTCTAAGAACAGGAACAAGACAGGGATGCCCACTCTCACCACTCCTGTTTGACACAGTACTGGAAGTAATAACCATTGCAATTAGACAAGAAGAAGAAATAAAAGGCATCCAAATTAAAAAAGAAGAAGTAAAGTTATCCTTATTTGCAGATGACATGATATTGTACATAAAAAAACAAAAGACTCCATCAAAAAACTAATAGACTTAATAAATGAATTTGGCAAGGTAGAAGGATACAAAATTAACGCCATTAATCTATGGCATTTCTATACACCACCAGTGAACTTACAGAAACAGACTAAAAAAGCAATCCTATTTACCATCGCACCAAAAAACCTAAGATACCTAGGAATAAACTTAACTAAGGAGATAAAAGACCTACTGTATTTTCCGGTGTATAAGACGACCCCCTAATTTTACAGTTAAAACATAGGTTTAGGCCTGTATTCGCTGTATAAGACTAACCCCCACTTCCGAGGCAACACCAGTTCTTTTTTTAATGAACCACCTCTCTGACTCTGGCCAATCCAAGCAGGCTTTTTATGCATGCAAATAATACATGTTCTGTACCCAAAGCTACACTGTGTTCTAGTAAAAAGCCTGCTCAGATTGGCCAGTCAGAGAGGCGGTTTATTAAAAAAAGAACTGGTGTTGCCTAGGAAGTGGGGGGTAGTCTTATACAGCGAATATAGGCCTAAACCTATGTTTTAATTGTAAAACTAGGGAGTCGTCTTATACGCCAAAAAATACGGTATATGAAGAAAACTACATGACACTGAAAAAAGAGATAGAGGAAGATGTAAACAGATGGAAGAACATACCCTGTTCATGGATTGGTATTACGATACAACCTGAAGTGAGCACAAACAGGGAGCCATGCTTGCAATGAGAATGATAGAGAAACTAGTCTCAGTTATATTCTTTTTTCACATGTTAGCATTTCACCAAGTGAGTATAAATATGTCTTAATTATAATATAACTTTTGAACAATGTAAAACTTAACCAAAACTTACTACTTCATCTGGTATTTAAGTGAAGAAATATTGATCTGAGGAATCTAATACAATACATATATGACTAATGTAGGAGCCACATCTTACTCTCCTAGATCCTTAAATTTTTTAAAACTTTCCATCGTTCTTCAAAAAAGATGGTCTATTATGGAACAGACTGTCATATCACAAATGGAAGGTGGGGTCGATGCGTTGGTGGGAAGAGATCAATCAAAGAACTAGTATGCATATAAGTATAACCCATGAAAACAGACAATATGTAGTGAAGGCCTGAGGTAGGAGGCAGAGCAGGCTAGAAGGGTCACTGGCAGAGGGGGACATATGTAATACTTTCAGCAATAAAGATTTTTTTTTTAAAAGCATGCGCTATAAGAAAATGAATGTTTCTCTCCTTAAAATTTTCTGCTCTTCACCTTAATATATGCAGCCTACAGATTTTAAAATAAATTTTCCAATTAAATATTGTTTCCTTGGTTAAGGCACAAAGAAATCTGGCTATACTTTGGGTTTTCCAAAGCCATACTAAAATGGTAATGCAAAATAGGATAAAAAGGCTGAAGCAGCACAGGAGCCCACGGAGAACAAAGGGGTGCCACAGGCCAACCTGCTGAGCTTCCAGGACAAGGAGGAAGAAACCGAAGAAGTTTTCAATGTGAAGAAATCAAGTGAGAGCAAAAGATAGTAAAATTACTTAAGAAAGAATATAAAGAAGATCTTGAAAAATCAAAGACTAAGTCAGAACTCAACTAAGCAGCCAACATTGCAACATAAATGCGTGTGTTTTTTGTTTTTTTTTAAAAAAAGGACAGAATGTTGGAACGGCAGAGGCCAGGCCTAGAGTGGCCAGGCACAAGGCAGTGGTAGCCGGGCCTGGAGCAGCAACAGCCAGGCCCCAGAGCAGCAGCAGTCAGAACCAGAGCAGCAACAGCCAGGCATGGAGCAGCCAGACCTGTGGCAGTGGCAGCCAGGCCTGAGGCGGAGGCGGCCAAGCCCAGGGTGGCCAGTCCAGGATCACCCAGGCCCAGAGTGGCCGGGCCCGGAGAAGCCGGGCCCAGAGCAGCCGGGTCGGGAGCAGTCAGACCCAGAACATCAGCAGCCAGGCCCAGAGCATCCAGGCCGGGAGCTGCCAGGCTCAGAGCGGCCGGGCCCGTGGCAGCCGGGCCCAGAGCAGCCTGGTTGGGAGCAGCCAGGTCAGGTGCGGCCAGGCCTGGAGCAGCAGCTGCCAGGCTGGGAGCGGCCAGGCCCGGAGTGGCTGGCCCCGGAGCAACCCGGCCCAGAGCAGCTGGGTTGGGTGCGGCCAGGCCCGGAGCAGCAGCAGCCATGCCCGGAGCAGCCAGGTCGGGAGCGGCAGTGGCCAGACCCGGAGCAGTTGGTTGTGGAACAGACCAGAGCAACAGAGGCCAGGCCCGGAGCAGCCAGGCCTGGAACAGCTCGCTCCTCGCCTGCCTCCACCCAAAGGCTGCCTCTCAGACATGGCTGGAAACTTTTGGGGGAACTTGAGGGTCTGCTGAATCAAATGAGGAAGGCTTAGATCTGGATGTGTTGAGTTAGTATAGCACTGGGGTGTTGATCTGTGAGTGCCTTGTGTGGGGCCTGGATGAGGTTGGTTGATCTATTGGGAAATGTCTTTTGTGTGAAGTGTATCCTTGGGCATGTGGAGGTATTATTGATTTGAGAAAATGCTAAGTAACTGATTTACTATCTGAAAAATTTTAAGTTCTGAAAGTTTAAGGTCTCTTGCCAAAAAGAGGTTTTAAAGCTAACACCTTAATTTTAATGGAGAAAGGGAATGACAAGCCCTTCCCACCCAGAACAGGTAATCCAATTCCAACCAGCAGCTATGTTTAAACAATGTGTCAATTTACGCTTGAATGGCTACACCTTTTGATAGCCTAAGGGCAAGTTTACATGTAAACAAGTTTGCTCTCAATTCCCAGGGCAGAAAAAAACAACAACAAGGTTTAAGATTATTAGATTTTAAAATTTATTCTTAGAAGTGTAAAAGTTTATTAATTAAAAAAAACAAACAACAACAACAACAACAAAAGGAGATTGAAAAACCTGATGAACAATAATAGCAGTTCATTGTAGTAGAGTTGGTGATATGGGAGGGGAATGGACTGACTCTTCTCTGGGGGAAAAGGGAGGGAGGAAGAGACTGAACATAAACTGTGCACCTATGGATGAGGACAATGGGGGGTGGGGAGGAGGCGGAGGGTGGGGTGGGAACCTGGTGGAAGTGGGATGAAATGAGGAATCTTTGTAATAATATGAACAATAAAGATTAATTTAAATTTAAAAAAAAATAGGATAAAAGTTAGCAACTAAAGTGACTCAATTTTTCTATACAACTTCCTCTGTCATTTCTAAGTTAAAAAGAATTGGCTCAGTACTTCTGATAGCAACCTTAAGCCATTTAAATCACCAAAAAGTAGGAAGTGCTAAAGTTTATTTCCCACAGCACTGAGCAAGTCCTACATAATACATAATCAATTGATACTTCTTAAATATTTAATGAGTGTATCTGCTGTTATCAGTTAAATTAAAAGTCTAGGATAATAATGATTTTATCAAAATTTACCCTTTATAAAACTTTGAAAATATTAATGAATCATTTAACAAAACTTACCTGCTACTGTGAGCTTAGCTGTTCTGCTGACAATAGTTCCAAGACTCTCAACAGTGGCCACACATTGATAATAACCTTCATCAGGTTTATTGTGTTTGGAATGCACCACATTGCTGATAAATAAAGACCCATCTGGGAGAAGCTGGCGTCGATCATCTGATACTAAATTTAAAAATGTTCCATCTTTTTTCCATTCAATTTTTGGAGAAGGCTCAGAATATGCTGAACAATTTAATACAACAGAAGAACCTCTAATTGAGAGTGTATCCATTGGCTCCACCAGAAAATAAAATGGAGTGAATGTTCGAATGCTGGATCCTACAAAAGTAATAAAATAAAAAAAGAACAAAGTTATGAAAAACTTTCTTCTACTATTTCAGTAAGAAAATATGTGTCCAAAATTATTTACAAATAGTTATGTTTTGGGGGTATGATAATCAATATAGTCATTTTGCTATGAATATCTAATAAATAAATATTATCTTTTACTAGGAAATCAAAATTTGAGACATTTAGAAGAACATTAGAAGAATGATCCAAAATAGTCATGGAGGAGGTGGACATTATACTCATCTCTTCCCATGTCCAAACTGTAATTACAACTAAACTTTACAACAATCACACTGAATAAACATCTGAAGACTAGCTGAAAAAGAAGTCTTATTACCAAGGATTTACAGAAGAAGCCACACTGATTGGAAGGGCAGAGACGCGAAAAGAACCGGTCATCTCAGCTGCAAAGGCGCCCATGAGGAACATATGGTCTCAACTCCATGCCAGGCTCCCCAGCCCAGAGTACCAGAGCTGGGAAGAGGAGCCCACATAACATGTGGCTGTAAAAAGCAGGGATTCTGTCTACCAAAGAGAAACAAGCGTCTGCTAGAAACCTAAGCACCTTCTTAAAGGGCCGAGACACAAAATCTTATTTGAGGCCACTCAAGCCAGGCTCCAGCAAGGGAGGGCAGATAGAAGCAAACTAGAATCTTGTAAAGGAGAGACTGAGTCATGTGAAGGGAGAAAGAGAGGGAGAGGGAGAGGGAGGAGGAGGGGGAGGAGGAAGGGAAAAAGGAAGGGGAGGGGAGGAAGAGAGGGGATATAGGGGGGAAGAAAGAGAGCGCATGCAAAAGGGACAGCTGCCAGAGTCCTTATGCTGAGTCCCTCCCCATATTGCCCACAGATGCCATATTTCAGGGTGACCACTCCCCTCCATACCACATCAGCCTGAAGAAATGCACTAATCCCATCTTCCCAACTTGCAGTCATCCTGCAATGCCAGGCTCACACCTGTGTGGCCTGTGGTGAAGACTTTCTTGAAAGACTTTTGAAGAAGTCCAGGCATACTCGAGGAGAGAATGAGTTTGTGTGCTTCCCAAGTAGGGGCCATTTTTCCCTTGCACTATTAATAGATGCCACCATTCCTATGAAAAGCCCTCACCACACATGGCCAAATCTTGCTATGTTTCGGCCTGATGAACTCTGTTGCCTTCCACAAAGACCCATGGGCACCCAATGGGTGGCAGCTGGCCTTGTATCCTAAGACTTTTACTGAGTGGCCTCAAAACCAGCACCAGTGCTGAGGTTGAATCTGTATCAATCTAGTGACCACTCATTCCTACCTGGTGATGCACTGAATACTACCTCATGCAATTCATGTACCACCAGATGCTCTTTAAGTGACTGAACCTAACAGGCAGTGAGAAGAATGCAGTTATTAGGGTGCTTTGGATCTTTTACAGACCAGCCCCCAGGCTCTGCACTGATGTAAGAAAATGTTGGTGGGTAGCTTGGCCCCTCCCATGCATTCTGATTCTAGCAAAAGCAGCCATAAAGTGTAGATTGCTTTATAGCTCCAAACAGGTGGCCCAGGGACAGTCACAGGCAGTGCCTGACACTGACTTGCCCCAGAGTCCCTCACAAGAGGCCCCAGAACAACACACCTGATGACAGACATCAGACCATATCAGATCATACTCAATTAGCTCCATAAGCAGCATACCCAAAGATCTCAGCACATACCAGGCACTGCTGGGGACAAATCTACTTCGTGGGGTCAGCCCTCGCTCAGAAGCTGGTGAGGATCAATCCTCAGTCAGCCAGCCTGAGGGCCCACTCTATTGACAGATGGACCAATAGCAATCAAGTCTAAATTGCAATGGGAAATTTCAACAAGGAACATTCCTGGAGCACTTGCTTGATTGCACCACTAAGCTCCACAGGACACTTACTACATAAGGCCACCATATTAACACTGGGTGGCAGAGTAGATCTACCTAATGTACAAAACAAATCAAGAGAGCAAGCTAAAATAGAGAGATAAAAAGCATGTTCCAAATGAAAAATAAAAAAAGAGAGAAATCCCCGGAAAAATAACTAAATGAAATAGGCAAGCAATCTATCAGAATTCAGAACAATGGCTATAAGGATGCTCAATGAACTTAGGTCAAGAATATGTGAACTCAGTGAGAACTGAAAAAAGAGATTTAAAATAAAAAAGAACAGAAATGATAAAAATGAACAATTCCTAAATAAAGAATACAATATCTTAAACGAAGAATACATAAATATATATCAAGAGGAGGTGGGATGACACAGAGTATCAAATTGGAAATCTGAAAGACAAAGTAGCAGAAAACAACAATGCAGAACAACGAACAGAAAAGTGAAATTTAAATAAGGTAAATATTAAGGGAACCAGAAGAGAGAGAGCAAGGAATTGAGCACCTATTTTAAGAAACAATGACTGAAAACTTTCCCCACCTTGTGAAGGAAAAAGACAAGTCCAGGAAATGCAGCAAGTTACAAACAAAATGTACCCAAAGAGGCCCACACCAAGACACATCACAATTAAAATGGCAAAGGTTAAAGACAAAGAGAATCTTAAAAGGAGCAAGAGAAAGACAGCTACAAAAGAAGCTCCCATATGACTGTCAGCTGAATTCTCAACAAAAACATTTCAAGCCAGAAGGGACCAACTGGCATCAAATATTCAAAGTGATGCAAAGCAAAAACCTACAACTAAGACTACTCTGCCTAGCAAGAATATCATTTAAAATTAAAGGAGAAATAAAGAGCTTCCCAGACAAGAAAAATTAAAGAAGTTCATCACCAGCAAACAAGTTTTACAAGAAATGTTAGAAACTTCATTAAGAAGGGGGGGAAGGAGGGGAGAACATAGTTATAGGCAATAAATACATACCTATTGATAATCACTTTAAATGCATATATCGGGTCTAGTAATAATTAATGTCGTTTTAAAACATTCGTTTAAAATCTTGCTTGGCGTTGACTTGTATTGACATAACCTTCAAACACGTGGTATCTACAGAACGTGTGAAGTGCAATTAACAAGTTTTGCTTGAAAAAGTTTGTGTTTGGTTTGGTTTTTGTTGCAAAACTACGGCTAAGAAGATGGCGGATGAAGAGCATATTCGGCACTGCATGCTTTACGAGTTCCAATTAGGAAGAAAAGCAAGTGAGGCTGCAAAAAACATCTGTAGTGCTCTTGGTCAAGATGCAGTTAGCGCCAGAAAATGCCAGCCAGCGTTGGTTTGAGAAATTTTGCGAGGGAAATTTTTCGTTAGATGTCAAGAGTGGTCGAGGCCGTGAGTCCAATTTTGATCAAGAAGCTCTTCAAGCTCTTTTGGTGCAAAATCCTCAAATTATCCAACAAGAGCTTGCGACAACTTTAAATTGTTCTCAAAAAACAATTTCCAATCAATTGTGTGCACTTGGCAAAGTCCAAAAGTTTGGAAAATGGGTTCCTCATGGGTTGACCGACAACAACCGTAATCAAAGAGTCACAATTTGCAGTTCGCTCCTCTCTCGTCAAAACCGTTTGCCGTTTTTAGAGCAAATTGTTACCGGAGATGAAAAATGGGTGCTGTACGTTAATTTGAAAAGGCGGCCTCAATGGTTGGACAAAAATGAGGCTCCGCAGCCCAAGCCAAAACCTGACTTGCATGCGAAAAAAGTGATGTTGTGTGTTTGGTGGAATTTTAAAGGAATTCTTCATTATGAACTTTTACCCTCTAAGACCAAACCATTACAAGTGCAGTGTATAGTGCCCAATTGGAAAGGTTAGCCCAAGCTTTAAGAGAAAAAGAACCCGCGCTGATTAATCGGAAGGGCGTAATTCTTCACCACGATAACGCACGACCGCATACTGCAAGAATCACTGCTGAAAAACTGCGCCAGTTGGAATGGGAAGTTCTCCCTCAACCTGCATATTATCCTGATATTGCCCCTTCCGATTACCATGTGTTTCGTTCTTTGCAAAACTTTCTTCTTGGAAAAAAATTTAATAATGAAGAATGCCTCAAAAATGCATTGACCGAATTTTTTGCATCAAAATCACAAGAATTTTACAACAGAGGGATTAAAATGCTTCCTGAGCGTTGGGCACAAGTAGTAGAAAACAACGGCAACTATATTGTTGATTAAATTTTGTTGTATTAATAAATTCGATTTTAAAAAGTATTAGAAAACGACATTAATTATTTCTAGACCTAATAAATTAAATGCTCCAATCAAATGACATAGGGTTGCTGAACAGATTTAAAAAAAAAAAAAAAAAAAAAACACCTCAGAATGAAAAGATACACGAAGTCTGAAAGTAAAAGGGTGGAAAAATGTATTTCAGACAAATAGAAATGAAAAAAAAAACTGATGTTTCTATGTCACTGGTTCTATTTTTGCTCATCAGATTCCACATATGAGAGATCATATATGATAAAAACTCTCAGCAAAGTGGAAATAAAGAGAACATATCTCAACATAATAAAGGCTATATATAACAAATCCACATCCAACATCATACTCAATTGGGAAAAACTAAAAAGCATTTCCCTTGTAATTAGGAATAAAATAGGGATAGCCACTCTCATCACTCTCAACATAGTACTGGAAGTACTATCACAGCAATCAGACAAAAAGAAGAAATAAAAGGCAATCAAATTAAAAAGGGAAGAGATAAAACTGTCATTGTTTGCAGAAAACATGAATTTATGTACAGAGAAACCTAAAAATTCCACACAAAAAGACTACTACATGATAAATGAATTCCATAAAGTAGCAGGATACAAAATAAATATTCAGAAATAAGTTGCACTTTTATACACCAACTAGAGGTAGAGGCCCGTTGCACAAAATTTGTGCACGAGGAGTGGGGGGGTGTCTCTCCCACCTTGGTCTGTACCCTCTCACCATCAGGGACCTTCTGGGGGATGTTCAACTGTCAGCTTAGGCCCGATCCACAGGGATCCAGGACTTCTGGCTCCTAACCACTCACCTGCCTGCCTGCTCACCCCCAACCACTCTGC